AAGGCTCCTTTTATAGCGCGCCTTCGTGTTTAAGATGTAACTTGATACTGCAAAATAAATAGTTAATCTTACAAGCAAGAGATGAGAACAACCGTCGCGGTTGATAATGAGTGACTAATGAATTCATAACTGCCTATTTAAAATGACGTACGTGTGTACTTCGTGCATTTCGATAAACCACACTGGACAGCTTAATTAAAAGCTCAACTCGGAAAATGCGTACCAAAATTTGTAAAACTGGCTTCTGTGGATGCTCTTCCACCGGATTACTGATAATTTTCTGCAATATAAGATAGAGGAATTTATTTTCGCGCAAAAATGGCGAATAAGGTCGAGATTTAAAAACACGTTCACTGGAAAATTGTCAAGGTCAAAAATCAAAAGACAGATGACATATGAAGCCGTACCTGGATTGCCCCTTCGCTTAACATCTTCAGGGATCTTTGCAAATTTTGCAATCGACGGCAAATTCTTGTGATAAAGTATTCGAAAGCTGTTTTGTGACACTTTCGTTCATCCAGCACTCGCACTCCCGCCAAATTTCTTATGAGCATATTTTTCTGGTAGGGACCACTGACCACTAAAGCCAGCTACTTCAGTTCAATCCACCCGATTCGCTTGTAATTAACCGCTTACATGCGGATTTAATTAGCACCAATCAGAGCCATGGGAGCCTGGGAACGAAGAATGATTGCGCAAGTTAACAAAATGGCGGCAGTGATTCAACGCCTATCAAGACAAGCGTTAGTCACCTTCATGACGAGAGAAACAGCAACGTTTTCGTCGAACTTTGAAACTTTAAAAACAATGGTTAGTCAACGATAAAAATCTCAAAGTATCTGATAACCTTTAGAGACCGTTGGTGGTCATCAAATTAAGCGTACATGCACTAAATCACGCACATCCGGTACACACTTTCATTGCCGGTAAAAATTATCAGTCAGCAATTAATGTGCGAGATCTGGAGCATGAACAGCATCCTTTTTTGGCCAATTTTTAAAGTTTAAAACAAATTGCTAGATTTTTTTTTCTTTTGAGTCAGTGTTAGTTGAATGGATTTGAAGTTAAGGTTGACCATATATTTAATAATTTAATTCTTCGTTTACACACGCAGATACATTGGTTTCTAAACGATAAATTTGCCCCTTATCCTTCAAGCATGCTCTGCTACTTTCCTCTAGATTGTATTAAAAAGATCGAGAAATTAAAGCGGCGTGTTTGGACCACAGGTGGCGATTTGACTCAAATGTGTGTAGAATCTTGTGCGGAATTTACATTAAATGAAAGCTAAGGTGTAGTAGTACATCATGAAAAGGGAAAGAGATTCAAAAGTTATGTCCAGTGTCTCAATTACGGAACATCGAACAAAAAAAAACAATTTCCTGGGTGATTCTCACCAAGTGATTTCCACCAATATTAACGAATTTGTATGTAACTTAAATCAAATAAAGGCTAACCATTTTTCTTGCCTTTGTGTTCTTCTGCTACAAATTTCCTCAGGAATGTGTGCATTTGAAACAAAAATATTTTAATGTGTTTTACCACAAAGAGATATGATCCTTTTTAGTATAAGGAATTTTTTTCCTTGGCTTATAGGTGAATAAATACAATACTCAACAATTAAGATTTCTCAATATTCATGTAATCTAGGAGAAAAGCTCTGAGTCTTTTAATTTTTTGCAACCAAGTCTAAAAGGATGGATAACTATTCAGTAGAGAGAAAAGTTTCCTTTATGGACCATTTTCAGCTGGATAACACTGTATCCTTCAAAGAGCAGGAACTCTACCTATTTTCTTCCATGAGGTTGTTGCTGTGTTTGTCACAAGTTTTTAGACAAATGCTGTGACCATAATTTATATAATATGCTATCATTTGTTGGCCCAAATCAAACCATGGTCATATGATTATATTATTAAATCATTATAAACAATAAGTTTTAAATGTTCTAATAAAGCAGTTGAGTAGAGCACTTGGTATCACTCTCTAGAAACCTTCTAATAGTATCTTGAAGCCTAATACACAATAGTTATCCAGCCTAGAAGGTAATATGGTCTTTGAGTTTAGTATTTGACTTTTTAGAGCCAAATCTTATGTTGTAACACACCTAAAGCTTTTTTGTTTTGTTTTGTTTTTTTTTCAGCTTGACTCAATCACAGCGGATGACATCAAGCTTTCTGTTCCAGATCCTTTCGAACAGAATAATAGAAGTTTCACTGAAGCACCAGCTACTCATATTTCCATCTTTGAATGTCCATTCTTTTCATTAGGAGTTTTCATCTTAAGAAAAGGTTGTTCTATTCCTCTCCATGATCATCCTGATATGTTTGGTTTGTGGTAAGTCAATTAGTAGAACTATTTGAGGCTTAAATTCAACATTTCCATTGTAACTGCACTACTGACTATGCTGCTGAAATGAATATCGTTAATTTTCATACTCCAAATCTAGTTAGCTATACATTTGTTATGGAGTGAATGAATTGCATGAGGTGGGATCTTGAATAGGGTAGGTGTCAGAAGAGCCACATTGTTGAATTTATACAGCACTGACATCACGTGAGATCCTAGTGATACTCTAGCTTGCAAGAGCTTGTTTTCTGTAGCTTAGTGGCAGAGCATTGAAGTACAGAATGCAAGGTCTGGGGATCAATTCCTAATGGGACAATCAGATTTTTGCTTTGTCCTTTGGGGTAAGACAAGTAACATCTTTCCCTCTAAGCTGATACACCAAAATCATGCTTAACTCTTTTTGGAAAACTGAGGTTTGAGCTTAGAGTGCGTCTTTCTTTTAATGATTGTGGGAAAGACACTTTCCTGTCAGTGTCCTCCCCCCATAATTGGGTATTAGCAATATGCAATGGAAATCTGACAAAATGACTGGGCAGTAAGTCAGTCACCAAACTTCAATAAGGTTTATTATCTATGTGAGTAAGCAAATTTGATCAGTCCACCTCTACTCATACAGTTTATCAAATTACTATAATAAAATATGTTTACAATAACTTACGTAAAATTTAATTTCCTTTACTGATATACAGGTCTATGCTTTTGCTTTAAAATTTCAGCAAAGTGGTGTATGGGGAAATATCAGTGGAGTCGTATCAAAGCCAATCTGAGTATGTACCTACCCATTTGCTCTGTTTTTGGCTTTTTTTTTCTTGCAGGAATATGGTAAGAGTTAAAAAGTTATATATTTATGCTCATTGCAGGACCACACTAAATGGAAGAACAGATGGCTTTACAAAACATCCTCTTCATACCCGTAAACGTATGTATCAAAGCTCTTAAAGATATTTGTAAAGTCACTGTAATAACTGTGGTTGTTGACAGTATATCAGAAGATAAAGGAATTATTGTTTGCTTAAATAAAGATGATCCCCTTTGCAATGAACATGTAGTCTGAACAATGGAGCATGTGGCTACCATTTTAATTGCATTTCGTTATTTTCATTTCCGGTTGTTTTGTTACAAAATATCATGTGACTTATTCTTACGTGCTTTAAGATTTTAAAGTCGCTTGTCACGTATGTTTTAGTTCTGGTATTGGTTGCTGTATTCGCAATCAGGGTAAAATATTTCTTTAACATGCTTAAGGCACATTTTTTAATAAAATGAGCTGCAAAGGTAACAGGAGCACTCCTTTGTCCAGCTTTCATCAAGTTTTGTATTTATGGTGACATGTATTTTTGGACTCTTTATAGGGAGGCTCATAAGGTGCAGGAAGACTGAACAACTTTTTGAGGAGAGCAGTGGAAGTTGTGTGTTGACACCAACTGTTGGTAACCATCATACAATTCACAATACTAGGTAATCCTTTGTAAACCATCTCCTCTATTTTCCTCATCACCAATCAGAGAATTGATTAACATTTATATTGACGCTCCCGTAGTTAAATTGTTTCCACTATCTGTTTTAAATTTAGTATCACAATGATGTTAACTGACATGATTGTATTCTCTAGATGACTTTCACTTAAGTAAGAAATGCTTTATGGAGACTGTTCATTTGCAAACCCTGGGCACCATTTTCAAGATGTTAACTTACCTACATAGCATTAAGTCTAATCACAAGGCAAGATAAATTGCTCCAAACCCTTTTTCTAGAGTTACTAATTCCAACTATGTATATTACTTTAATTTATTACTATTGGTTACTTGAAAGGCTACAGCTTTCAAAATATTTAGTTTGAACTTTGTAATCTGAAAAGATGTCATAGTTAACAACTCTTTACCAAAATGGAGGTGGCTAGTGATATGTAAATTATTCACCTTGCTGCTTGGCGGCCCAGTTAATGTTCACTGCCAGCCACTGAGATAATATAGCCCAAAAAGGATGATTTTTAACTCCTTTATTCTGGCAGTGACTTCAATATTTTTGGGTATAAATCCTGTGTAAGTTGCTGAGAGGTGAATTGAGAGGTTTTCACAGTCTGAATAGCCAGTCAGGGCTCATCTTTGATGCTATTCACAGCGTTTTTAATATTGTTAAATGGAATTTAACATAGTTAAGTTAACCCTTTCCCGTCCAACCGTGCCATATGGCACACGCGTGTACCACCCCTCAAATTCCCAAGCGTGCCATATGGCACTCTACAGTAAGGTCAATTCTAACCAATAAGAAATGCTAATTTTTATTGTTTCTTCTGGCCTATTGTGTTTTAACCAATAGGGTTAGAGTAGAAGCTCAGTTCAAGCCAACTTTCGGGGGTGGTGTTCATATGAATTTATTGAGAAATTGCGAATTGAAATTTGTTCGCATAGTTTTAAAATGGCGGCGCTCTTCGATTCAGATAGCGAGGAAGAAGAGTTCATTGGCTTCACTATTGAACCGGGATTCGAGCGAGATAATCGTGAGTCAGAATCTGACATTTCTGTTTCGTCAGTTGACACAGAGGATTTGTCAGATCTCGATCTTAGCGATCAGGAAAGTGGCGATGAATTCGAAGAAGAGTGGAACGAGGACCCTGGTCCAGTTGTTGTGAATCCGTTCTTCACAAATACCGGCCTGGTTAGGGACGTTCGAGGTTATTCGACCCTTAACATTTTTAACTTAATGTTTAAGGACAGCAATTTTGACAGAATTGCAGAAGAAACAAATCGATATGCGCAGCAAGCAATGGAAGCAAATCCGAACCCTGCTTGGCGTGAAACCGACGCCGAAGAAGTGAAGGCATTCTTTGCATTAAACATCCTGTTTGGGATTAAACAACTGCCCAAAGTTTATTCCTACTGGTCGAAAAATCAGCTTCTTGGAGTCCCAGAAGTGCAAAAGATTTTTCCAAGGAATCGTTTTGTGAAGATATCCCAATATCTTCACCTAAACGAGAAGAGAAAAGAATTGCCACGAGGGCACGCAAATCACGACAAGTTATTCAAAGTGTGACCCCTTCTCTATTCTATTGTAGAGGCTGTTAAAAGCGAGCACAGGCTGTTGAAAAATGTTTCGATCGACTAGGCAATGATTCCTTTTAATGACTAGTGGCAAATCTGTTCTGTTGCGATTGGTTGGCATACTTTTAGCGTATTAGCACTCAGTTAGCGTCTGCCAGGCACTTGTGTGCATTCCATAGCATTGTAGCTACATTGTAGCTGTTTGTGGCCTGGGATGGGCCGTGTCCAGCGGTTACCTCTATCTGTGCATGTGCTGGTTCTTCCATGTGCTTGCTTTGTGTTGGCTGTATGTTAGCATGGCATTGTTGTCCAGGAGGATAGCTTTTCAGTGTTCCCTCCCTCCCTTCCCATTTTGCTTTTGCTTAGGGGTTTTTTAGTTGGTTATATTATTTTGTTGATGTATTTATTTTTCTACCTCATGTTTTTGACTTCTTATTTTCTCTTCCACTAAGCTCTCTGGCTCTAGTGTGATGGGTGCTTGTTGGGGCTCGGCGCAGGGGGCTTGTGGCTGGGTTGTGTGTTGGGCAGGCCAGTCAGGTGTTCTAGTGCCTTGGATGTGACTGCAGTTGCAGCCCTCAGGCCCTTTGGGCACCTGACCTCCATTTGCAACCTGGGCGTTAATGTACAAATATCTTTCATCCATAAAATATCTTATTGTGGTTAAAATAACTTGATTATCTTATTGTAACTAGCGACATGAGTTTCAAGCTTGTGATAGCTTTATTTGGTGTAAATGTTTCTTGTTGCACACTTGGAAAACTTTTGTCAGTTACTTCAAATTGTGTGATGTACGTTTCCTGTTCTGTTGCAGTTCAGGGCCATCAGCTTTTGTTGACATCCTTGGTCCTCCCTATGCACAAGACAAAGTGAGTAAACATGGACAAAGCACAGTTGGACTTTTTCTTTTTTTGCTTGAAATTTATTATTGAGATTTTGTTTCATTAGGCAACATTTGCATGAGGGAGATGGGGAGATGAATGAAAGTTAGAAAAAAAAATTTAAAAGTGATAGAGAATGCTGAGGCTTTTGCCACTCAGTGTAGTCTTTTCTAGTTATGAAGGATTACAAGCTCTCTGATTTTACTTAATTGTTCAACAAATTGGGTGATACTTTGCTCTCCACCCCCCCCCTCCCCCTTTAAATAAGCTTACACTGGGTGAAAGGTACACAAATTGGAAACTCATTTGGTACTATCATACTCTCTCTTCCAAACAGTTACTAGTGGTTCGGGCACTTAGAATTATGGACTTAATCAAACTGCCATTCTTGTGTTAAATTTATTTATCACTGTCATTAAACACAAGAGGACTTACTTCAAGATTGTTTGTCATGCATGCATGTACTTTGTAAAACAACCTGAAGGGTTGTTTAAAGGAAGGAAGAACAAAAGCTAATAGAGAGCATGCGTTGTATAGGGACGTGACTGCACATATTACCAAGAATGTGATCCTTCACCATACCTTAACTCCAGTAAGAACAATCAGGTAATGTTTTTTACTTTACACGTGCTTAATAAACTGTCATTTTTTTATGCAAGATTTAGATTGTTTTTCAGAGTCAATAGAAGATGTGAGACAGAGTGTTGTTTTAATGGAAATGTATCTTTCTTAAGAAACAATGGTTTGACATATATGAGCTGTGTAACCCCAGAAAAATTGTTATATATAGACAAGCTCTTGTCCATCTCTGCAGACTTGTTCCTAAGTAACTTAGTGAGAAAACTCAGCTAGAATTGCTGGTATGGAACAATTGTCTTGAGAATCGATTTAAATGTAGAAATGCATAAGTTCTGCATTAAATGTCATGAGCTTATGCCTGAGCCACTTTTACGAAGAAAAAATAAAATGTGCCTCTAAATAATTCTACCCAAGTCTGTTTTCACAAGTTCACAAAGATACTGAAGATAGAGCTTTTCTTGTATGATGACTTGTATGAAGAGCTGACTAAAGTGGCTACCTTTTGTCATTTAGGCTTCACCAATTGAGATCGATAGCTCTGACAGGTATGAGTTTCTGTGTAGGTTAAGTAACTCTGCAACCTTCATAAGTTTATCTCGTCGATACACTCTCACATACCCTTGTCATTTTAAATTGCTTCCAAATTTCCAAGTGGTTTTTGTTTATCATCAGTGTACTTCAGTTTTCTCTATCCTGTTTTTCTGAGAATTATGTTTATTCTCAGATAGCAACAAGGCCCAATAAAGTGGAAGAAATGTATATAAGCCACAAATTGATGACCTTATTGAAATAGAATCAGTTTACACATTTAAGTTGAGGTCTAGCCTGGATTTAATATGTATCATTTTGAGATGGAGCTCAAACATCCTCTTACACTTTGCAAGTTTATGAAACTTACTTATGAAATCTGCAAGAAGCAAACCATAGTGTTCATTTCTAAGACTGTTGCCACAGGCCCTCTCTTCAACAGCAATTGTGCATGTAGATTTCACCTCATGTCTTCCTTTAGGTGGATAATTGAAATTCCTCCTCCTCGAGACTTCTACTGTGATACTCAGGTAATTTTGTGAGTTCTAATATTGTCATTCAAAATGTTTTTGTATAGCATTTCATTTTTTGTTCATTGATGTGCTTTTCTTGGGAATATAAATTTCTTTTTGCTCCTGGTTCAGTATTGAAAATTAAATCAAAAGGAATCATAATTCTGGATAAAAATATAGCAACACATAAACTTTGGACCTTGTTGCTTGACAAAGATTAGAAGAATGGTAGTTGAAACATTGTGATCAATACACAATTAATTAGCCTGACTCTTACATTGTGAAGCAAACATTAAAACATTCATTTTACAATATCCCAGTACAAAGTGAGGTGATAATGCAGGTTTTATTGATTTTTTTCAGCCATACAGGGGACCAACTGTAAATCTGCAATTAATCTCTGATCCTTCAGACTTATAAAAAAGAGATTATACTACAACCAGTACCAAAAAGGAAGGATTACACTTTACAGATCTGCACTGGAGAAAAATGTACATTTAAACAGGTTAATATAGTATTATACAATTATACAGTTTATTTATACAAAATACATAGGTTGCTTATTTACATTTCTTAGTAGATGTGTTGTGGTGCTGAAGTATCAAAGTTCCTTTATCAATATATTTCTTAATGCACTTTAGACTTTCAGTGTACATTGAATTCATAAATTATTTCAGCTTTACGTCACTGTAAACAATACAAGGTGTTAACATAATCGACTTGTGCTGCAAAGAGATGGTTCTCTCTTTTAAAACTGCTTGTCTGATAATTGAAACTAATAATTGTGTTTTGGTTGTTGTTTTAACATGTAATGCAAGTCACCAATTCAAAGATTTTAATAGAGGAGTAATTGTCAAAATTGACGCCTCTAGTAAGAGAGCGCTAATTGTATGGAAGTGTTGTCATCTATTTTTTAGTCATTCTTTTTGTATTAAGCCGATTATTTAACAAAAAGATTATTTTCTGTAGTTGGTATATTCAGCAATAGAACCAAGATGAGGAACAGCCAAGTATCACCAATTTTTTTTCCAAATTTTGATGTCCTCAGTGATCAGTTACTTAACATACAGACCAAAATATGAAATCAACTTGTTTTATGTTGTAAAAGTGTGAAATGTTGTTACCAGTGACATCATTTACAACTCTGTCTTCCTATATATCAATAGCAAGAACCTAACACAGTGCTTATGTAATCTAGCTTATAATATAATAAATTTGCACTATAGATGTCCAGTGATATGCTTAAGGTTGGATTGTGGATAAATTATCTTACAAAACCAATTGTTCTCTTCACATCTGCTGAAATTTAGAGTTAGAAAAATAATTTGCAAGTTTTTTTGTTGTGTTTGTTGGTGTATGAAGTGGCTTGCCAGTTTCTGGGTTCTGTTTGTAGATGGAGTGTTGTTACCAGCAGGGAGGCTGGCTTTGCGTCATTTCACCCTGGTCTGCTAGTACCAATAGATAACACTTATTGACTGTATGCCTTGTACAGGTTGTGATGAGTATGCCATAAAATTTGAATATTAATAGAGACAATTGTAAAATTTGATGAATTTGATGGGAAGGAGAATAAATTCCAAGACCCTTTCCTAAAGATATTCCTAACTGTCAATTTAGGTCGGTTTCTTTTGTGCAGCTATAAGTTCTAAAGAAAGAAATTTGACTTGGAATTTTCACCTGCGCTTGTAGAGTATTGTAGTAAACCCGGAAATAAAAAATCACCGGTTCCTACGTATTTTGTGACGAGAACATATTCCCATTCTTACCTCAGTCAAACCCCTTATAAGTCTGTATATGCGGCACCGATTAGGTGTGACCCAGTACAAAGCGGTCGGTTGTCGAAGTCCCAAGTTTTTATCCCTTAGTAGATGTTATTTCACGGTCACCTCTTTTGAGTTGTCGTGGGTACCCTTTGATGAGTCCCAACGGCCTGTTTGTATTGTTTTCCTCCGGCATTGAACGGTCTCTTACAGCGTAACCACTAAAATTAGAGAGAGTAAGATAAGATTTCAAGTGAAATTTAATCGATGTTTATCTCCCATAATCAATGTTGGTGGTACAGTGGAATCCCGATATCTCGAACCAAACCCTGTTTCCCTTGGATTTGCTTCACTTGTAATTTCACCCCCGATTTCTCGAACCAATTTGCGTTTCCCCTCGATGTTCGAGAATTCGGGATTCCACTGTCGTTGAGAGCCAGCTTTTTTTTTTACATGAAGTGGTCAGTTCTGCCACTTTTTAGTGACAGATAACGTAAGACAGAGGAAAGGAAAACACTGCAGACGATGAGTGACAACTTCAACTTTTTGTTCCCTGAATATTCCCGTATACGTCCAATTCCACTTGAGAGCACTAGACAAAGTTTGGACTGGAATTCAACTCCTTTTTATTACAATTTTAAACAAGTAAGTGATATCGAATATCAATATTCGCAGTTATAGTTTCTGCAGCCAAGGAAAATCCCTTCTATTTTACAATTTAGCACAAAAGGAATACTTTGACCTTCTGAGTTCAGATTTCTATCATCCCTTTGGTAACGAGTAGTAGTAGTAGTGAACTTTACTTATGTGTCGTGAAAACCTAGCGCATAGCACTAATTGGGGACACAGGGTAAAAGCTTTAAAATAAGAAATCTGGAACCTATTTACAGAATTATTTACCTAACCTATTAACAGTAAAAATTATTTATCAATGTCCTAGAGTTAAAAATCAACTATTACAGAGCGCACATTTTTTCCATCCATCATCAACCATGACAGTCATAATTCTCAAGCCTGATAAAGGTAATGGAGTAGTTATTTTAGATCGTAACATTTATTTGAACTCTTGTTTTGATATGCTTAATGATAAATCCAAATTCGAATTACTAGAGAAAGATGCCACTTTATTAAGAGAAGGCAGTCTCAAACGTTTCATTAGTTTATTCAAGAAAAAGCATTCAATTGATAATGATACCTAAAACAAGATTTTTTTGCCAAATTTGTCTTACATCAATCCTGCGATTGGAGACGAATTGCAGCTACTTCTGTCGGCTCCAATAGCGCTCCGCGATTGTGGATCAACATTTACAGTAGCGTGCTGATCCGCGGTGCAATGAATAAATTTCTGTGTAAACCTGTATAGGCTCCTTCCGGTATGTACTTCATGGCTGAATGCCATATAGACGACATATAGTGCTAGTTCCATATAGACGACATATACATCCTTTCACATCCCTAGCCACATCCCTAGCCATCGTTTACCATCCATAGCCATCCTTTACCATCCTTAGCTATCCCTAACCATCGTTTGCCATCCTTGGCCATCCCTAGCCATCCCTAGCCATCC